ATGAACGAACCGGAATGATTGAACTAACAGTAAAATCAGTACAAGTACCTAACCCTAGAATTGTGTACCCCCTATAGGCTAACCCACTGTAGCCTAAACAAGCACAACATATATAATGTTTGACACACCCCCATAGGCGAAGTGGGGGAGAACTAGGGGTCACAAGACCAGTCAAGTAAAGCAAAGCAAAGCAAGCTCATGGTGGATCACAAAGTCACCACACATTCCGAGCACAAGTTCAGGGCCACAAGGCCAGTTCACATGCAGGAGTACATATATATATAGGGCTAGACAAGCAACAGCAAGTATATATATATATATATATATGTAACAGTACAAGCAAGGTCAAGAGGTGAGCAAGTAAGGCAAGACAGGTACAAGACCCAGCTGGGTGCAGAAGCGCTGATGATCACAAGGCGCAAGTGCCTTGGTGAAGACATCGGCAGTTTTGGCCTCAGAGGCCACGTACGCAAGCCGCAACTGACCACGCTGCTGTAGCTCACGAGCAAGGAAGTAGCGGAGAGCAATGTGCTTTGTTCTGTGCTCCAGTCTCTGCTCTCAACACAAGGCCAGCATGGCCTTGTTGTCTACGTACAGGACTGGAGGAGAACGAGGCGGCTCTCCAAGGTCGGTCAGCAGGTAGGTGAGCCAGCGAAGCTCCTGAGCAGCCATGGCCCCTGCGTAGATCTCAGCCTCACAACTGGAGCCGAGAACACAAGACGAGCGAGTAGCCCGCCACGAAACAGAGCCGGAACCAAGGCTGAAGGTGTAACCCTGTGACGACCGCTGCGTAGCCTTGTCGTCAGCCCAAGAAGCATCTGCGTGACCAGTTAGAAGCACTGGACTCCGCCCTCCAAGCACTAGCCCCATGCCCGACGTACTGCACAAGTAGCGCAACACCCTCTTTGCTGCAGCCATGTGCTCTGGTCGGTGTCTCCCAGGAGCAACATAGCGTGCAAGAATGCTAAGAGGGTATGCAAGGTCAGGTCGTGTGCAGGTCATCAGAAACATGAGGCAGCCAACAAGCTCTGGGTACAGGCCACTCGACTCTACGGACTCATCCGAAGGCAGAGCTGAGAGCGAGTGGCGAATAGGCAGAGGAGTGGCCTGAGGCAAGGAGTATGTGAAGTCGAAGCGCTGAAGGACCTGCTGCAGCATGTGTGACTGAGTCAGGGTGATGGTGCGGCGTGCTCTGTCCCGGGTGATCTGCAAGCCAAGGTAGCTGCGCAGTTCACCCAAGTTTGTGCACGTGTGTCTCTTCTGCAGCTCGGACTTCACGTAGGCGAGTCCAGCAGTGTCAGCTGTGGCAAAGACCAAGTCGTCGACGTACACGAGGATGTAGAACGGCGGCAGAGAAGTGTCGGTGCGTAGAAACAGCGACGGGTCGGCAGTAGAAGGAGCAAACCCAAGAGCCGCAAGCGTAGTCCTCAGTGTGTCGTGCCACTCGCGCGGTGCTTGGCGGGGACCGTAGACTGGCCGTCGGAGGCTCCACTGGGTGCCAGGAGGGAAAGTCCCAGTGAAGCCAAGTGGGCGGCGCAGCCAGATCTCCTCGTGCAGGCTGCCCTGCAGGAAGGCAGTGCTGAAGTCAAGAGAGTGTAGCTCGTATTCACGTTGAGCAGCTACGTGCAGTAGTACCCGAAGAGTGGTCATCTACGGGGTGGGAGAGAAGGTCTGAAAGTAGTCAACTCCCTGCCACTGACTGAAGCCACGAGCCACGTAACTCTCCTTGAAGACAGGCGGAGAACCCGGCGGCCGCTTCACCCTGAAAATCCACATGCCACTAACGATGTTCGCCCCAGGAGGGGGGACAGCGTCAACGTAGGTGCCTGTGGACTTCGAGGAAGCCATCTCTGCATCCATAGCTGCCTGCCACTGAGAAGAGTAGGGACCCTCTGAGAAGAGGAGGACGCTGACGCGAACCGCAACCACTAGTGCGAGCAGTACGGACAGGCGACGCAGGGCGAGACGCAGGCTCACGACGCTCAGCAAGACCTCTAGTAGGACCAGTGTAGGGAGAAGGAGCAGGCAGTGGGGAGGGGGGCTGTAATTGTAACTGTGACTGGACAGGCTATGGACACTCTAAGGGAGGAGGAGGACCGAGAGAAGGCGGGAGACCAAGAACCTGCTGAAGGAGCGGAACGAAGTACGGCCGCTGCCGTGCAGCGACTCCAGAACCAGCAGAGACACCAGCGCCAGGGTCCTCCGCACCAGCAGCAGCTCCAACGCCCGACTCCACAGCACCAGCAGCAGCACCAGCTCCAGGGTCCTCAGCACCAGCAGCAGCTCCAACGCCCGGGTCCTCAGTACCAGCAGCAGCTCCAACGCCCGGGTCCTCAGCACCTGCAGCAGCTCCAACGCCCGGGTCCTCAGTACCAGCAGCAGCTCCAACGCCCGGTCCTTAGCACCAGCAGCAGCACCAGCGCCCGAGTCCGCAGCACCTGCCGTAGCTCCAACGCCCGGAACCGCAGCACCAGAAACAGCTCCAACCTCTGGGGCCGTAGCACCAGCAGAACCAGTAGAGTCTCCAGCACCAGTAGCACCACCAGCAGCAGCGGGGTCCGCGACACCAGGCGCGCCACTCCGAAGAGTGCAGCGCCGCTCGTACCACTCACGGATCCGCTCACGGGAGGGGAGCTCCCGGCTAGGAGGAGAAGCACTAGCACCAGTCCCAGTAGTACGCCTGGCTCCAGAGGTACCTCTCCTGAGGCTGCATTACTGGAAGTACCACTCACGCAGCTGCTTCGAGGAGAGGGCTCCGCCAGGTGTAGGACCCTCAAGCTCAGGACCTCCAGACTCAGAACCCCCAGACTCCGGACTCTGCGGCTCAGCACCCCCAGGCTCCGCACCCCAAGGCTCAGCACCCCCAGGCTCCGCACCCCCAGGCTCCGCACCCCCAGGCTCCGCACCCCCTAGCTCCGCACCCCCCGGCTCAGCAACCCCAGGCTCCGCACCCCCAGGCTCAGCACCCCCAGGCTCCGCACCCAGAGCAGGACGAGAGTCGACAGCTACCTCAACAGGCTCAACCGGGTCTACCTGAGACACACCTGAGGGAGCGGCACCCCGAGGGGGGAGGGGGTCTACGACAGCAGCACCTGGCGTGAGGAAGAGAGGCGGGGGGGGAGCGGGGCAGTGCGGTAGGGGAAGAGGCAGTAGTAGGGGACGGACTCGTCAAAAGTGACGTCCTGAGAGGGCAAGACTCGGCGCGAGGTGGCGTGGTAAAACTGCCAACCAGGCGCATCCGGGACAAAGCCGAGGAAGACGCAGGGAACAGCACGGGAGGAGAGCTTGTCCGCAGATGTATCGCGGACAAAAGCTCGAGATCCCCAGACCCGGAAACGCGACGCATCGCCAACCTCCCCCGTCCACAGCAGTGTGGGCGAGGTCTCCGGCAAGGAGACACGGGGCCAGAGGTTGAGCTGATGCGCAGCGTACCGGACCGCAAACGGCAACAAAAAGTGGGGGGCAGCCGCATGGATCAAGGAGGTACGGGCGACCTCCATGACCAGGCCAATGCGGCGCTCTGCAATCCCATTCTGCTGTGGAGAGGCCGGAAGCGTGAACGACTGCTCAATGCCGTGCTCAGCACAGTAGGCTGCCAAGAGGTCGGAGGAGAACTCACCACCTCTGTCAGAGTGCAAGCGCAGGACAGGAAAGTCCGAGTGGAAACGCTCGCTGAGCTGGAGACGGGCTCTGCGGATCCAAGGGATCAAGACATCAGGGACCTCACCCTTGGTGCGCAAGGGGAAGACCGTGGTGTAGCGCAAGTAGTCGTCAACAACTATCAAGAAGTACCTATCCTGACCCTGACCACAGACGCGGGCTGGGCCCCACAGGTCCATGTGGAGCGTCTGCAAGGGAGCAGTCGTCGGGGGAAACGAGGAGGAGTGAGGAGCGGCGCGCTGCCGCCCCTCGACGCAGGGAAGACAGGGAGGAGCAGGCGAGGGTGGGAGGGGAGGGAGGACTCTGGGAAGACCGGAGACAAGGTACCGGGAGTGCATGGCACGAAGGCGCTGCATAGACGGGTGGCCAAGTCGGTGGTGCCAGAGGACAGTCTCGTGCGCTAGAGAGCGACACGAGCAGGGGGCAGACAGCTGACCAGACGCGGACGCAGACGCAGACGCAGCGACCTGAGGGGACTCAGTGGTCAGTGTGTACAGGTCCGACCCCGGCTGCCGAGTGAAGGTAGCCAAGTGGAGGCCCGTACGAGCACACGTGCAGTGTATCACGCGCTCGTAGGCAGGGGTGAACTGGTGAATACCCCCATCTTGGAGTGCACTACCTGCCACCAAGTTCGTGGAGAACGAGGGGAGGTGGAGACCTGACAGTGTGCCCGACGGGACAGGGAAGGACAGTGGAGGAGGTCGCAATGACCGGACCCCCAGAGGGGTCAGCGAGGGAGACAGCAACTGGCCGAGCAAGCGGCTCAAGGGCAGTGCGGTCACAAAAGAAGTAGCGAGAAGCACCTGAGTCCACTGTGAAGGTGTGCAGTCAGTACCAGGGGGGGCAGACGCACAAGCACTTAGAGGAGCTGCCTCACCAGCACCTGTGGTAGCAGACACGCGAGTACCTGGAGCGGCAGACGCACTAGTCCTAATGCCCGGGTCGGGCGGCACACACAGGTACTCAGCACCCTCTCCACTAGTCGACATCACATACATAGCAGTGAGAATAGCATCAAAGTCTAGAGCATAGATATCAATCCCCTTCTTCAGGAGATCAAGCCAGCGGGGCAGCTCAGTGGCCTGAGGGAACTGAACACGCCAAGCGTCGTTGAGACGAGCGAAGCAGCGCTGTGTGGCGTGCGGTTGTCCACACGGCTGACCAATGCGGTCACCACTGCGAATGACGTACGTGCAGCTAAAGCCATCCCCCCCCCCCCCCCCCCCCCCGTGCTGAGAGTACCACTCACGGACCTCCTGGGGCGACGGAGTGTGCTACTGGCCCTGGCCACCGCCAGCGCCTCCACGACCACCACCGCCGCCGCCACCTCCTATACCACCTTAACCCCTGCCGCCGCCGCGTCCACCGCCACCCCCACCACCGCCTCCGCCCCTGCCACCTCCCCCGCCGCTGCCGCCACCACCCCCACCGCTGCCACTAGCCCCTCCAGTCGCGCCACCACCCCCACCGCCGCCACCGCCCCCACCACCGCCTCCCCCGCTGTCACCGCCACCTCCCTTGCCCCCTTTGCCCTTGCCGCTGCGGCGCCCGCTCGAAGCAGACGCAGTCCCGACCTTCTCAGCACCAAGGAGGTCGACAGCGGCAGCAGAGGCGACAGAGGGAAGAAGGGGGGAAGGAGAACACCCCTCAAAGAACGGGGTACGGGGGTCGCCACGAGAGGCACCTACGGCGACTATGCTAGCCTCAGCTGCAAGGAGTTCCTTCTCGAGGAGGGCAATGGTGAGCTCAATGGGGCAGCGAGCTAGGAAGTGGTCCCTGACTGAGCGCAGAGTGTCAGGGAGGCGGGTGACTAGGTGGTAGAGTGTGAGCCAGAGTGGGGGTGGGTTCTTGGCAAGGAACTCATCAGGCATGGCGGCGCGGAAGCGAGCCTCACTAGTGCGGAGGTGCGTAATGAGGTCAGCGACTGTGTGGAAAGAGGCTAAGTCGGGGAACAGGTAGGGAAGAGAGAGAAGGCCTAGTGCGGCAGAGGCCGGTGAGGAGTAGCAGGCAACGACAGCAGTGTACAGTGCCTGTGCAGTCTTGTGCTGCCCAAAGTGCTTGCGCTCATCTATCGGCAGGGAGTTGCGAATAGCGAAGCGAGCGTGGGCGTCACGAGTCTGCCACTGTGAGCGGGCAGTGCTGTCAGCAGTAGCAGCAGGAGCAGGAGCATGGCCTAGGGCGTGATCGTACAGTGAGATGTCCTCCTTCGCAGTGAGCTGTAGGAAGAGGTGTAGGTCATCTAGCCAGGTTTGGAACTTCACTGGGCGGCCCTCAGCATCGAAAGCCAGCACAGGAGGGCTAGCCATAAGAGTAGTAGGAGTAATAGCAATAGGGGCACCCCAAAAACAGTAGGCAGTGCGACTCAAGTAGGGCGGCTCGGTCCAGTATGGGCGGCGCGGCTCGGTTCAGGTAGGGCGGCGCGGCTCGGGAAGGGCGGCGCGGCTAGGTTCGGGCGGCGCGGCTCGGTTTGGGCTGGGCGGCTCCGTTCGGGCGGCTCGGTTTGGGCGGCTCGGTTCGGACGGCTCGGTTCGGGCTGGACAGCTCGGTTCGGGTTGCTCGGGTCGGGCGGCTCGTTCTGGGGGGGCCGTTCGGGGCCTCTAGGGGCGAGCGCGGGGCCGTAAGGGGCCGCTAAGTGCGAGGGCGGGGCCGATCGGGGCCTCTAGGGGCGAGCGCGGGGCCGTAAGGGGCCGCTAAGGGCGAGCGCGGGGCCGTTCGGGGCCTCTAGGGGCGAGCGCGGGGCCGTAAGGGGCCGCTAAGGGCGAGCGCGGGGCCGTTCGGGGCCTCTAAGGGCGAGCGCGGGGCCGTAAGGGGCCGCTAAGGGCGAGCGCGGGGCCGTAAGGGGCGAGCGCGTGGGCCGACGGGGCCTTAAGGGGCGGCGCGCGAGTCGCTAAGGGGCGGGTCGCGGGTCGCGGGGCCTTAGGGAGCCGTGAAAAACGAGGCGCCCTAGGGCGCAGTTAGGTAGGTAGGTAGGTAGGTAGGTAGGTAGGTAGGTAGGTAGGTAGTGGTGGGCCCTAAAAAAACGGTCCTAGCGAAGGACCTGCTCTATACCATGTTGAAATGAACGAACAGGAATGATTGAACTAACAGTGAAATCAGTACAAGTACCTAACCCTAGAATTGTGTACCCCCTATAGGCTAACCCATTGTAGCCTAAACAAGCACAACATATAAAATGTTTGACATGCGGAGCCTGGGGGTACTGCGCCTGGGGGTGCGGAGCCTGGGGGTGCTGAGCCTGGGGGTGCAGAGTCTGGAAGTGCTGAGCCTGGGGTTGCTGGGTCTGCTCGTGTGGCCTCTAGCGGTGCTTCGTCGAGGCAGGAGCTACTCTCTCCGCAGGAGCTGCGCGAGTGGTTTGCCCGGCGCTGGAGCCCTGCTGCTGGAGGTGGAGGTACTACTGTTGCTGCTGGTCCTGGAGGTGCTCGTACTAGCAGTACTGGAGCTGCTGGGACTGGGAGTGCTGCTGGGGCTGCTCGAGTTAGTCCTGCTGGAGTTGGTGCTAGTGCAGTTGCTGGAGCTGCTGGAGCTGGAGCTGCTGGGGGTGTTGGCGCTGGTGGTGCTGCTGGCACTGGTCCTTCTGAGGGTGCTGGAGTTGGTGCTGTTGGAGCTGGAGGTGCTGCTGGCGCTGGTGCTGCCGCTGGGGGTGCTGGTGCTGTCCCTGATGGTTCTGGAGGCGCTGTGCGGCCGAGGCCGTACTTCGTTCCGCTCCTTGAGCAGGTTCTTGGTCTCTCGCCTTCTACTGGTCCTGCTCCTCCCTTAGAGGGTCCACAGCCTGTCCAGTCGCGGTCACAATTACAGCCCGCCTCCCACCTACCTGCTCCTTCTCCCTATACTGGTCCTACTGGAGGTCTTACTGAGCGTCGTGAGCCTGCGTCTCGTCCTGCGTCGCCTGTTCGTGCTGCTCGCACTAGTGGTCGTGCTCCGCGTCCGCGTCCTTCTGCGGTCCCAGGCACACACCAGATGGCACTGCATCCGTCCACTGCTCCTCTGCGTGTCCCGTTGCCGTCTCCTCCAGAGTCCTCTCTTCCTGTCCTTGCTGACCCGGAGTCTGACTCTCTTCGTGCTGCCAGTCCTACTGTCACGCGTCTCCTGGCTACTGTTGTCGCGGACCCTTCCTTTGAGTCCACTGCTGCGTCTGCCTTGGTTACTGAGCTTGTCGACTTTGCTACTCGCTGTCGTCTAGACTACGCCACTAGTCTTGTTGCTGAGTCTGAGTCTGCCTGTCCTCCGTCCGTCGGGGGTGAGTGTGCTCTTAGCACGGACGTCGTTGAGGATAGGCAGGAGGAGTTCCAGTGTTTTGGTGTTGCTTTGCCTCATCTCGTGTCCACGCTGATTGCCCTTGAGGGAGACCCGGATGCACCAGACATCCCGACTCCTCGATCGTACGCTGAGGCGATCGAGGGTCCCTACTCCTCTCAGTGGCAGTCAGCCATGGACGCAGAGATGGCTTCCTGGAAGTCCACAGGCACCTACGTCGACGAGGTTCCCCCACCTGGGGAGAACATCGTCAGTGGCATGTGGATTTTCAGGGTGAAGCGGCCGCCGGGTTCTCCGCCTGTCTTCAAGGCGCGTTACGTGGCTCGAGGTTTCAGTCAACGACAGCGAGTTGACTACTTTCAGACCTTCTCTCCCACCTCGAAGATGACCACTCTTCGGGTGCTGCTGCATATAGCCGCGCAACGCGACTACGAGCTTCACTCTCTTGACTTCAGCACAGCTTTCCTGTAGGGCAGCCTGCACAAGGAGATCTGGCTGCGCCGCCCACCTGGCTTCACTGGGTCGTTTCCTCCTGGTACCCAGTGGAGCCTCCGGCGGCCAGTCTACGGTCTTCGCCAGGCGCCCCGTGAGTGGCACGAGACACTGAGGACTACACTTGCGGCTCTTGGGTTTGCTCCTTCTACTGCCGACCCGTCGCTGTTTCTGCGCACCGACACCTCTTTGCCGCCGTTCTACATCCCCGTGTACGTCGAAGACTTGGTCTTTACCACTGCTGACACTGCTGGACTCGCCCACGTGAAGTCCGAGCTGCAGAAGAGACACACATGCACAGACCTTGGTGAACAGCACAGCTACCTTGGCTTCAGATCACCCGGGATAGAGCACAGCGCACCATTACCCTGACTCAGTCACACATGGTGCAGCAGGTCCTTCAGCGCTTCGACTTCACGTACTCCTTGCCTCAGGCCACTCCTCTGTCTACTCGCCACTCGCTCTCAGCTCTGCCTTCGGATGAGTCCATAGAGCCGAGTGGCCCGTACCCAGAGCTTGTTGGCTGCCTCATGTACCTGATGACCTGCACACGACCTGACCTCGCATACCCTCTTAGCATCTTGGCACGCTATGTTGCTCATGGGAGACACCGACCAGAGCACATGGCTGCAACGAAGAGGGTGTTGCGCTACTTGTGCAGTACGTCGGGCATGGGGCTAGTGCTTGGAGGGCGACGTCGAGTGGTCCTCACATGTCACGCTGACGCTTCTTGGGTTGACGACCAGGCTACGCAGCGGTCGTCACAAGGTTAAACCTTCAGCCTTGGCTCCTGCTCTGTTTCGTGGCGGTCTACCCGCTCGTCTTCTGTTCTCGGCTCTAGCTGTGAGGCTGAGATCTACGCAGGGGCCATGGCTGCAAAGGAGCTACGCTGGCTCACCTACCTGCTGACTGACCTGGGAGAGCCGCCTCGTTCTCCTCCAATTCTGTACGTAGACAACAAGGCCATGCTGGCCTTGTGTTGGGAGCACAGACTGGAGCACAGAACGAAGCACATTACTCTTCGCTACTTCCTTGCTCGTGAGCTGCAGCAGCGTGGTCAGCTGCGCCTTGCTCACGTGGCCTCTGAGGCCAACAATGCTGATATCTTTACCAAGGCACTTCCGCCTTGTGATCATCAGCGCTTCTGTACGATGCTAGGTCTTGGGCCTACTTGGCCTCACTTGCTCACTTCTTGACCTTGCTTGTACTGTGATCTTTCTATACCTGCACTTACTTGTTTACCTATATATATGATCTTGCATGTGAACTGGCCTTGTGGCCTTGCTCTTGTGCTCAGACTGTGTGGTGACTTTGTGATCCACCCTGAGCTTGCCTTGCTTTGTTTGACTGGTCTTGTGACCTCTTGTTCTCCCCCACTTTGCCTATGGGGGTGTGTCAACCTCTTATGCTATAGTCTGTGTAGGTTGTAGTGGGGTAGACAATATGGGGTACAACATTTCTAGGTTTTCCTACTTGTATCCACCTCTTACCTAGTTTATTCATTCCTCATGTCTTCACAATAAATTCAACTCGATTGAAAAGGCAAACACGAGATTTACAGTTTTTGTGTTAAAAAATACAAATAAATATATATGCCATTTTATTAACGCATGCGCTTCTAAATTTACTCGATTATAAGCCCACCCCCCTAAAAAAACCTGTTTTATTATTTCCCCCCATGGGAGTATATCCGGGGTATGACGGTTTCAATGTTCCATGTACGAACACCAAAAGTATATCATCTTAAAGCTTTGGTTAGTACGGATCGATCGGTATGAAGGAAAACATCATCATGCAAGAGATTGTGTGACATTGTTACCTCCGAATTTGAGCTGGAAGCCATGGCGGAGAGCTCTAGAATGGAGTGGAAAAATGTTGAGCCACAATGCCATCCGAAACATGTGAATTGAGCACTAGCATTGTGAATACTGAAATGTGGTTGTAAATACTAATATATAATATCTGGCGAGGAAAAGTGTAGCGAGAACAGTGTATATTTCGTTCTACGGTTTTCTGCATCGTATCCCACCCGTCACCACCATGTCGCCAGCAGGCCTGTCGTTTCGTTTTGGGGCCCCCGGACAAATCAGGGGGCCCGGCATGTACGACCCTGTATTTAGCAGGGTCTGGGCGAATCGGCCCTCAAGGCTTCAGGGCTGGAAAAAAATCCTCCCTTTGAATCATGTTTGGTGCAAAATTTTCCGCAGCCCCATTTCAGCTGCAAGCTTACAGCTACACTTTTAGATAAAACTATTACAAGCAAGCACGACATAAGAATAACTTGTTAGTGTTAGTTACTCCGGTAGCACGCTTAGCTTGCTCCTAGCCTTGGCAGCACTGAAGACCTCGTGCATTTCTACCCACCCCACAGAACAGTTCAGCATCTTCACAATCAATAACCGATCTAGCTCAACATCACTTAACATCATTTAGAGCAGTCCTGTCCCATCACTTAACTTCACGACGGGGATCAGAGATGTGTTTTGCTGCTGGTGGCCAATTTATGCTACTGTCTGTGTGTTGAGGCAAGGGAGCGCAGGTGTGAAATACAAGTTGTAGG